ATGATGAAAACGCCCATAAACACAGTGTTAATGTACCATATAAGGAATATTTTAAGGCTATGTGTAATAGCTATGCATAAACTGATATAGTTTGTGTTTACTTGTGAAAAGTAATTCATAGACAAATATGTCCAGCCTACATTTTGTTGTCCTTGTGACATTATTTATGTCACACAGACCCAGGAGAGGCCCACTTCATTATATCCTTTTATGCATTATACAACTCAAATAGAATTAGTAGGGGGTTTAGAGGCTTGGAGCTGCTTATAAAGTATAATCAGCTATAATCATAGTTATGAATCATATAAAAACACACTGTATTTACAGCTGGGGTCTCAACCCGAAACAGAGGCTATTTGTCATTTTCCACTGGGACTTGTAATAGATCTCATCAGTTCAAAATCATGTTTGTACACAGTCCTCATAAAAGCAGAAAAAATGAATTGTCAAACTAAAAAAAAAAGTGTGGCATATTGTATGAACCATCTTGTATTTATGTAAAAACACTCACAGTTGCACCATACTCTTGTTATTCCTGTGGATAAAAAGCTTCATCACTCATGACACATTCCCTTTGCAGCCACGGTGGTACAGTGACATCCAAGAATCGATGATGATTGAAAATACTAAGTTTGCACTTTGTCTCTGTCATTTGGAGAAATATAGGTAATCGATATGTGAAGTGGAAATAGAGAAAAATTCCAAGCTGGGGTGTCACTGGAAATAAGACGACGATATCTAACTGTGAAGGAGTATCGACACTTAACGGAGTAAAGCGTAGGTGCTCCAAAGTGGATAACAGATGTCAGCCTCCTGCAGATCAATAACATACTGTCCTTTGGCTGAGTCAATCATGCGACCGTGCCGTGAGTTTCTGGCTCCCTCCGAGCTGGAAAGCTGAAACGCTCCCTGTGCGGTTGGCCCAGAGCACCGAATGATAGCAGTCATCGAAGCAAATATGTTTCATTTTCTGGATCCATTTGGTGTAAGCGCTGTAATTCAAAACAGGCAACCTTTAACGGCGCCATCCAAAAAAAAAAAAGAGAGAGAGAGAGAGGAAAAACAAATCAATATTGCCAGTAAAATGGGCCACATCAGCTCTTCCCACAAGCTAGTTCCTTCAGTATTGGTTTGGAGATGAAGGTGACTGGTATGTCTTCTACCGGTGGAAAAGTCAAAACAAACACCCAGCCAGTGCTCCGTCGCTTCTTTCTCACAAAGATATGCACACATTGGCTGTCAGTGTTTGAAAAGAGTGCCTGAGTCTGTCTTCTGAAACAGCTTCTCCATCAATCAAACCCCATCTATCTCGCTGTTGTGTCCTTGTCATTCCTTTTTCTTTTTTTTTTTTTGTTTGAGTGGTCCGTCTCTTCTCCCTTCACCCGCTGCACATACTGACTGATTGTCACAAAAGACACCCAAGTCACCCGAGTGGAGCCAGCATCGCTGCCCCCCTTTCATACAGTTAAAAGGGAGTAAATTGGACAAGCAGCGACAGAAGTGATTAGGTGCTGTTAAGGAGATTCTTAGTTCGTCAGTAAGATTCAGTCTCTTTCGTTGGTTGCTAGGCAGACGCGTGAGCATCTTCGTGTGTTTTACTGTACGAGCGTCACATTTATGTGATTAATGACCGCGCAATCAGATCATTGTGGTGGTTTCGTTCTTGAAATGCAAAATGAAACGTGAATTGTGCTGTAAACGCTCTTGTTGCTACAGTGATTGGAAATGTAATGTGCTCAAAAAAATGTGGCAGCTAATAAATGTATTCTGCTCCTGCGAGGGTTCAGTCACTGATTTTAGTCCTGAATTGCATGTAGTCCAACCTTCTGTTGAGAATTAAAGCACTAAGTCCTCACAAAAAGCCCAGTAGATGTTGCATGTGCACGATGAAATCTCTTGTGTGATATTTAAAAAAAACAAAAAAAACGCCATTCATCAGCATTACATTCAAAGATAATATTGAGTATGTGGCCCTGCTGTGGCAATTGTACTTCAGAGCCAGATTGCAGACTCGGTTAGCTGTTATAAAACTATTTCAAAGAGACCCTTGCTGCATTTTGTACGCTTTCATTAAACATCTGTGTGCAGAACAGTTTGTTTTATACTTTGGCTCCTCTTCTGTGGGGAGCAGTGAGTTCACAATATCGGTATGAGGTCATGTAATTCGGTTATTCTTTAAAGACACCATGAAGCCAAAATGAGAATTCACATGATGGCGAGTGGCTTTAAGAACGACCTACTTGGTCTCGGTAAATTGCTTAGCAACACAGTACCGATCTCTGTGAGGTCGCCAGACAGGCTCACTTTTCTAAATTGGTTTTTCACGGTCACGATAACCCAACAATACCTTTCTCTACAAAAGCTTAGATAACATTTATGCATCTGTGAATTTTTTTTTTTAAAAAGCTGCCATATGCTAAACATTTGTGATGAACTCGTGATTTAATGCCAAATTTGTCTATTAAATATAATTCCTGTTGTCTATATCGTACAGCTTCCTACATTGCTTTCTAGTATATTTCTGATTGATACTTTTCCAGATTGGTCATTTACAAGTTAACCCATTGATTTAACAGAGTTTAAGCCCAGGCAAGTTAGTGAAAACAACATTTTGTGGAGAAAGGATGTTGTATGATATTTAATTACAGTGGTTGGTCAAAGGACATAGGAGATGTACTTTGGTCCTTGAAGGAGTAGTAGGATTTTTAAAAATATAAGTTATTAAAAGTTAGTTGAGGAGATTGGTGCCACTCTTATAGGGGTAGGTATGAAGTTAGAACCGAAAGAAGGTTAATTTTTCTTCAACAGAGACTAGTAACAGGTTGAACGGCCAGCCTGGCTTGTCTAAAGGTAACAAAACCAATCTGCTAACATCTATGAAGTTCATTAATAACTATTTTGTTTATTCTGTTTACAAAAACCAGAGGATAAAATCAACACGTTTACCCAGCTTCCAGTCTTTAGGCTAAGCTAAGCAAACCACCCGCTGGCTCCAACTGTGTTTACTGTTTCTCAGCAAGTACATTTCCAAAAATGTTAAACCCAGCACCGTGCAGAAGTCTTTAGATTCTTATTCCTCATGCAGTCAGCTAGGCATATGATTGGTCCTAAATTCATCATGCAGTGCGAACAACCTTAAACATGCAACCAGAGTCGTGACCGTTTTGCAGCAGCGTGAAGAACGAGGACACGTGCATCAGAGTCCACAGAGCCCTGATCTTTCACACGATGACACAGAAGACACGGAGGCTGCTTAATCCACAGAAGAACTGTGTCAAGTTCTTCAAGATGCTCGGAACAGTTTGCTTTGAAAAACTGTTTACAAGTGTACTCAAGGGAAAAATGCCACGGCAATAAAAGCAAAGTGTGCTTTAATCAAATACTGATTTGATTTAGACTATTTCTGTTTACTGCTCTTTGTATGAAGTTTATTGAAATTGGAAAAATTCAGCGTGAGGATGTTTTATCAAGACAAAGTTTCCGCTGTTCAGGTTTTCAGTTGTCTGTAGGAAGCTTTAAAGATGCACTCTAGTGGAAATCAAGGTTTTACCTTGTTACCATGTCTATATGTTGTTTTTTAATGCTAGGAGACATATTATGAGCATTTCCTCATTGAAGCTGCAGTTTACGGATGACAGCCAGGATTTCATATAACAAGCTGTCTCTGCCATTATTCCTCTTCAGACTCAGTTTCCATTACTAACATGTATGACTGAATTGCTCCCATATTACAGCTTACCATTGTTTGGCAGAGTTGTTGTACAGTGTGTGAGCAGAGTTAGGTGAGCTGGTGTGCTGAGCTGCAGTGGGTGGATGGAGAAAAAGACGAGGACCTCGTAGATCCACGGTGCAGAGTTACATCTACCCAATTTACAGGCAGAAAGGGGTTATTTTTTCATGAAAAAAAGTCTTAATATGTACACAGACGTAAGTTTTTAGACATCTAACAAATGACCACAGGGAGACCTAAACACCTGCTGTTGCTGTGATTCAGCCCTCCGACTGCTTCAAAGGACCAGACCCCCTGGTAGCAGCTTTTAGGTGTTAAATTCACTGTTGGAAACCCTTAGGCAGCATGCATTTCTCAGTGCCTCTGCCCCGGTTAAATATTTAATGTTTCAATAAAGAACGAGAATCATCCAGTTAATAGTTTGTGCAAGTTTAATTATAGGGTGTAATATTACTTTTGGTGTACAGGAAGGTGCAAAGATTATTACTGAATGTGCTTCTCATTAAACCTCTTGTGGAGTTCCTCATTATTCACCAACCATAAACTTGTCAACTAAAATTAGCCCAACAGTTTGCCATCTGCAAGCCCACATTGCAGTAGACGTTTAAAAAGATCTTCAAGTCTTAATATTCTAGCGGTTTTGGACACATACCACATGGTCACAGATGCTTTAAATCCAAACTGGTCACGACCCTCACGGATTATCATTGCCCGTATCGTCTCTCTTTACTGACACTGTCGGGTTTTTAAGAGCACTTTGTTATTACGTAGTCTTCTGTTGTTCATCGTATAGGCCGGATTAAGTCTTCCTCGGTTTACTCACTTAGTTTCAAGCTGTTTCATCTCAGTGATACAACTGTTTTTGTGACATTGCCATCACCGCCTGAAGCTCTATTTCAAGAGCCTCTTGATTTGCATATTTTGTTCTAAGCGAGATTTCAAAAATATCTGTCGATTGACTCACTACTGACCAGACTAAAAGGTGGAAGATGAATCCTGCAGTATGAGTCAGGTTCAGGCAAAAAATAGAATAGAATGTAATTATGTTAAAAGTGCAAGAGGGTGATTATTCAGCTGATTAGAGCAAAAAAAAAAAAAAAATCCTCGGAACCAAGCGCATTACAAGGCTAATGAAGAGCACGGAAGAAATTAAATGTATTTTGAGAACACATGGAAGAACCGAGCTCAGAGACGCAGGCAATGCATAGTCGAAGCCGGAGTCGCTGTCCTGACGTCTGCTCTCTTTGTCTTGGTCAGCCGGTGAAACATCATGACGACACTGCTGGACCTGAAGAGTAGTGTGCTGAGGCAGGTGCAGAGGAGCCAGTCGCTGAGGAGTCGACGGGAGCCGCCTCCCACCGCCAGCAGCCCCCTCACGCACTGTCCCGAGCCCTTACCTCGCAGGTGAGTTACTTCCTGTCCACGCACCTCATGCATGACTTCATAGCTGGGCTCAAATTCACGTGGTTTTTCATGAGGTGGATTTTCATTTACCATTCTATAAATAATGTACCTTCGTGCCTGTAAATAGTTTACCTGAGAAAATGTGGGGAAATTTGTGTCTTATTATAAGTACGGTTGTGACAAACTCTCCTTTTGCTTTTACAATCTAAGGCATCACTGTCAAACACAAGTTAAACCTTCTCTGAGTTTGAGCACAAACCAGCCTGTTTATGGGTACATTACTGTTTATGGACACATAGATTGTAGATACAGTATAGATTTGGCTGATTGTTGCCCTTTAGGAGAAGTAAAAGCTTTCACAATGAGCATCTTTTGCTGGAGATTAAAGTGCAATCTGGGTTGCTCAGAATGATAATGACATCCCCTTCCAAAATAACGGCACAAACTCATAAGCAGTAATTCATTTGTTTTCCTCTGGCTGCCCAGCTGAAGCCACAGGTCATCATTTCTTGTCAACGCAGTGTTTTAATTGTGTGGCATTTATTCTAGAGTTGTGACTAGCTGTGAGGAGGCCATTCACAAGCTGCCTCTCCCCCCCCCCCCCCCACCGCCCCGAAGGACACATAAACCGCATTATTACATGCACAGGCAGGCTCTGAGGGGATCACAAATGCTGCTTTCTTGTTATATGAGTTTTACACCACATGATTTTGATGTCCAAATGTCTCCTGCAGCAGACGGGTGCAGTGTTGTACAGCAGACTGCTGCTTTTACTCGAGCGATAAGTGCATCTTCCTGCGAGGCAAACCAGGAGATGAAATCCAAAAACAGCGTGTGAATTTGTTCTTTGTGTATGTGAATGGAAATGTACATAAATTGACTTTTGCATGGTTTTACGTAGTTATGAGCGTGTATACATGAAGTGTGTGTGTATTAAGAAACAAAGGGGCCTTTTTTGATTGTTTCCGCACATCTCATGAATGCAGGATCAGATTGAGCTTTTAGTCGTGTTCCTCGAGCCACTTTAAGTGACTAGGCAGGTCGCATTGTCTTGTTGGGGGCAGCAGCTGCTATCGGGGGAATTCTTTGTCTACAACAATGTTCAGGTGGTACATGTTAAAGCAACATCCACAGCCTGTGCATTGCATTGCAACAAGATAAATGATATTCACCCAACAGTTGTTTCAACCCTATTCAGGACTTTTTGGGGTCTTTTGATTTAGGTGACAGGTATTTTTTATTTTTTTTATTTTGGAAGATTTGTTTTTAAATATAAAAAGAGGGACATTTGTCATGCATTTGGAACCTAAAATATGTCAACTTATCAGAAAATTGAATAAACGTAGTATAAAAGTCTATAATGAATGCCAACAAATATTTTTGCACATATTCTTTCTTGGGGTCCAATGGACCCCGAAAGACCTTCTATATATGGCAACATCAAAGTCCTGAATAGGGTTCATGAAGCAACATTTGCTACAGACCAGTAGAATGCCTGCTTTGATTCCGGATGTGAGAAAAGATATAGAAAACTTATTAAAAAGGCACATTCATGTAGAGTTCAGAATTACCCATTTGTAGTCGTGACTTGACATTCCGACCCTTAACAATCTGAAAACCTTGCTATCCGACAGGTTTTTAGGAAAAACGAATGGAACACATTAAAAATAGCCTTAACATACCAACAGCCTTGGATTCAGACTCCGACATGACATTTTATGTCACAGATAAGGATAGCAGCGTTTTATCTGACTTAACAAACCAACAAACCATACAGACTGCAGGATTTAATGCTCAATTTGGATTTTTTGTGAAATCAAATTTTTTGAGAGTTCGTTCACATTTCCAATTAAACTTGACTTGTATGTGATCTGCTGTGTGAACTTCATACGACCCAGAAGTGTCCCACATGTACAGAAGAGGACACGACAACGTCACACGCAGCCACAGATGGTAACGGTGGAGCGTATCTTGCGATTTTAAAGTTGTTTTTAAAAAAGTAGTTGTCCAACCAGAGCCAACACATTTACAATGTAATCGCCACAGTTGTGGTGGTATGCTATCCGCCCTAGCCCCCGCCCCCGCTGCCAGCAATGGTGGAAACATAAGTGTGACCGCTAATTAAACTGGCATTAGCAGCCAGGCACTGCCTGTGTGCTCCGGCCACTTCCACCCCATCGTAGCACAGCCCTTGGGTGGAAGTGGCTGTTCAAGCATCAAGCCCTCCTTGTATCTCGACCTCCGTCTTGACAATCCGACAGCCTTGCTATCCAACATGAAAGAAGGTTTTACATTAAGTGTCAGATTATTGAGTCACAACTGTATTTCAGAATCACATGCATTTGAGTTTGACAACGACTCTTCTGGAGTGATGCTCTGGAACAAAAAAGAGAATAGAATAGAAAATACTTTGTTTATCCCAGACCTGGGAAATTTTTGAACAATCTGAGCAAACATGACACAGACAGTCCCTGAGATGACAAACCCCCCTGGCACAGCCTTAAATTCACAATGTTCAGATGAATACAGTATAAACACAAAAACAAGGAGACCAACTTAAGTGGTCCTCACTTTACAAAATCTAGTTTACACAGTTTCAAGGTACAATTATGAACCATCTATGTTCTGCAGTCCCACAATATGAGAAACAACCATCCATCCATCCATCTATCCATCCATATATTATCTATCCACAGCTTAATCCTCATTAGGGTCGTGGGGGGCTGGAGTCTATCCCAGCTGACTTGGGGTGAAGGCAGGGGACACCCTGGACAGGTAACCAGTCTATCACAGGGCCACACTTAGAGACAGACAACCAAGCACACTCACATTCACACCTACGGACAATTTAGAATCACCAGTTAACCTCAACATGTTTTTGGACTGTGTGGGAGGAAGCTGGAGAACCCGGAGAGAACCCACTCTGCACGGGGAGAACATGCAAACTCTAGGGCTAGACCCTAATAGCCGACTATTCGTTCGCTGTGCTGGATATCAATTTTGATCACCGAAGGTTGGGGAGGAGGAGGAGATTTGCCGATCTGTAGAGGGTGGTGTAGCAGCGATGTGGTGAGTGTGGAGCTGACTCTGTGCCAGTCTGAACTAACACATAAGCTCCATTTGATTTCAGATTTCAGATTTTAGAGTCACACCTTCTCAAATGCAACGAGCTACTGTTTGTCTTTATTGTAAATGATAGTAAATTGGACATTTTTGGATTTTGGACTGTTTGGGATTGGATTAAAGAAGCATTTTCTTTCAGATGTTACAAGGTAATTAAGGAAATAATTGCCACATTGATGGAAATAATGATTATTTTCCACCCGATATTAGACAAATCTAATTATTGTCTTTCCAAATAAAGATGAACTCTTTTTAGATTAAATGTAAAATGCAAGCATGGATCTTTACACTGGACTATTGGTATATATTATATGTGCTTGGTATGCTTTGTTCTTCTATTTTTTTTTGTTGGGGGTTTCTTAGTTTTGTTTTGTTGTTTTTTTTTTTCAATTTTTTTTACTTGCCTTCTTCAATGAAACAAAGCTTCTCAGGTGAACAGTCAGCTGATATATATAATTTTTTTTTTTTTCCAGTCCTGTTTTGAAGCTTCATCTGAAGCCAAAAGTAATAGTATGAACCCATGGTTTCTATAGCAACCTAAACACAGGCTGCTGCCATGATGTGAACTTATACTTGTAATGACAACCATGTCTATTTTTAACGTGGAAGATAACCTCAGATGCTGTGGTGAACACTGATAAATGTAGGTTTGAAACACTAGCGCTGCACCTATGCATGACTTTATGGCACATTTGTTATACATTTTTATTTAACATATAATTTAGTACATTTAACCGTCAGTATGGTTATAGTTTATAATCTTATTTTTTTCAATGCAGTTTAAAATCAAATCTGCTTGTGCGTGTTTCGAGCCGTCGGTATCTCACCTTCGTCTCATTTCCAGCGGCGGCTCTCTGGCGCTGCAGCTCTACCACTGAGCCTCTCCTGCGTACATACCCTGAGCACTCATCATTAGACGCAGGCGGTTGATCTTTGTTATCCATTCAGGCTGCTGCTGACCTGCCTTCACTCCCACTTTAATTGAGAATTTGCAAATGAGGTTGGGTAGATTTGGGCTGCTCCGTCCACAGTTGTTGACCCAGTGCAGCCGGCTCTCAGCGCCGAGCCCCTCCGAGCAGACTGGCACATCGGAGGTGAACTTTTTAATTCAGTCGAGCAAATTATGTTTTTACCTCTATGTGAGCTGCTTGTTAAGTCTCTGGAAATGCACAAGACAGCGTTAGAGACGCGCTTGAGTGGTTATACAGCATAACCTGCAGGGATTTATGCTTAAATCAAAATGATGGTTTATTATTCTTGCTTACTTCAGTGTTTACCTCCGTGTCTGTCAACAGCGGTGAGCTTCATATTTCACACTTGACTCCACTGTGTTTTGAATCCCCAGCTCGCCGTGGTGTCTTTTAATGGATTTGACTCCTCGGTGTCACTGTGTCAAGGCTCTCATTTTTTAATAATGCTGAATAGCCCAATCAATTTAGAATGAATTAAGCAGAAATCCCTGATGCACATGGAGTGACAGCCGTTGCAAAGGCAGTCAAGGCTGGCATTATTCTAGATTCTTCTTAACGTTAACAAATCCAGTAAAAAAAAAAATATATTAAAAAACTGTTACGTGTAATTCATTGATTGAATCCTACTCGGTCTGTGGCGTCATACTGAAGGTAGATTTCTTTAAAAAATATAAGGCCGATAAGATGTACTCGCCCTCCTCGCAAGATTTCCCCTTTTATTGCTTTTCAACGTGAAATCATGGTTGGTATAATCTGGCTTTTTGGACAATAATTTACAACAAAAAAAGAGTCTTTCATGTCAAATTGACAACAGATTTATACAAAATAATGTAATTTAATTCTTCATACTTAGTTCTTTTCATTTCCGGACACAACTTCTTAAAAGGAGTGACGCCTGGGCTTCAA